GCTCTACAACAAAAATATCAATGAAAAAATAAAGACTTCACACCCTGGAATCAGTGAGTGAGCTAGTTATTTAACAAAAATTAGTGACGAGCTAAGCAGAGGTAGAAGTATTATTCTCCTTATATTAACTTACTACCACAGTTAAATATTTAATACTAATAGTCCATGATACAAACTTATTTTTTTCTGTGTCAATTTTGTACATTACTCTTCACTGCTTTACATCACTGCATATTTAGAATTTTATAACTGTAGGATCCAGTATACTGTTTTCCAGCAACAAAATTAATTTTCAAAAAAATATTCTTAAAATAATTTTAAGTAACTACGATCAAGTATCATTTTAAAACTTGCATTGTAATATTGAGATGCATCTTTATACAATGAATACAATGAGTTGCCATTTTTTTTACCCTCACAAACAACATTTACTCATCACAAAATACATATGTATGTGTATACACACACGCACACATCTATGGTATTTTGAGAAATTACCCACAGTACCAGGCTATGAGTATAGTGCTTTCCTCATTTAATTTTTACAGTACTCTTATAATGTCTGTACAATTAATGTTATTTATTTTTTGAATAAGAAACCCATGGTGCAGAAGGTTAAGTGATTTGCCCAGGTTCACACAATTAACCCAGAGCTCACAATCAACCAGTGAGTTACATAGTCCCTTTAAGTCAAAAGATATGAGCACTTAAAATTTTGATGGAATTTTGAGAGGTGTTGTCAAATTGCCTCCTAAAACTTCAGAATAATTTACAACCCCTTTAATGGTGTGTGTGAATGTGTGTGGTTACTTTGGCCCAACTGCAAGGTGAGATCATCATCTTAATTTATAAAATCAGGGTTTAAAATTGATAAAACATGAAATTAGTATGGAAATTTCTTTGCAGAAAACTCAATAAAGAAGATGATTTCTATCCTGCGGGTTTCACACTTGGCATAAGATTGTTAAAATAACTTGTGAAAAAGTGTCCCCTTCTATATCTAAAATATAAATTATACACATTATTCATTTACTTGAGCTAAGTGGACACTTTGCAGCTTCATAATTTCTCTACGAAGTAATAAGAAGGCCCACCCAAGATGACGAGCTTGGAGTGGTTCAGCCTGTCTGAGTTAAGTGATGCTTGATCGTGACTAGAGAATATTTTGCAAATATAATTTCAAACTTATATGTGAAATCCCCTTAAAGCCACTTTGAGGGAGACCGTGTTCTTTTACCTACAGAAAAAGTGATGGATCCACGTACCTTTTCCTCCTTTTTGCTGGAGAACAGGAGGTTGTACCAGCTGGTTTTCAGGGATGTTCTGCAGAGACTGATGAGTATTTCCTTCAAAATAGAGGTCCGAAGCACTGTTCTATACAAACAATGCAGCAGGGTGTTAAGTGGGACTTTCCATGTGGCTCCTAGTTAGTGGCTAAAGTCAAAGGCTGGGGGCAAAAAGAGTGCTAACCATCTCCCAAATTCTAAAAAACACTACACCCTCAACTGCAGCCAAATGTCTCCCAGAGCAGAACTAGCACACACGGAGAGGAGTGAGAGATAGAGGGTAATCTTTGGGTTTGTGAGGAATTGTGTATTTTCCTCACTTTCTGAGAAAGGACAGGAGATGGCTTCCCTCCTTTCCCCTAAAAATACCCAATGAGAAAAAGAGATCTGAAAGAATCATTAACAGAAATTGGTCAGCAAAAAGGGAAGATGGGCTTTCATTCCTGCTTTGGTTGCTCATCCAGGCAAGAGGAGATTAGAGGAGAAAGATGGCAGCCAAAAGAGAGCCGAGCCAAGACAGGGACAGCAGGCAGCAGCCTGAGCTTCTACCATTACATATGGCAAGGAAGTGTGGGTCTCTGGGGGTTAACTACACACCATGCAAGGGGCTGGGCTTGGGCCATCCTACCACACCACACACGAGAGGACTGCCCAACAGGCAAGGACTTCCCAACCACAACAGGCAGCATGGTGTATGCACACCAGGGCATGGGAATTGAATGGAAGCAGGGTTGCCAGACAGATGGAAATATCGGGCATCCTGTATTTTACCTGGCAACCCTAAGTGAAGGCAGAAGAGCTTAAGCGGGAACCCAAAACTCCCTCTTCAAAGAACTGTCTCGTGGAAAGGCCATGACAGAACAATTGACAGGGTCAGCAAAAGGACCTTTTACACAGCATGGTTTCAGCTAGTGACAGAAGGAAAAGAAAAATTACATTTCCTATGTATATCCCACCACATTCAGGCTGCTTTAATAAAATGGATGCACTAAGAAAACAGTGTAAAAGAACATGTGGATGGAGAGATAGATGGCGGGGACATCTCCTTTTGCAGGAGTCTACTGAAGTATAAATTAATTGGCCCACTACTTGTAGCTAGCTCTGAGCTTGCAGGGTGAGGGATAGAGCAAGTTAACATAAAATTGTAGGTAAAGCCAGTGCAGGCGATGTGTGTGCCTTCACCCTCTGGCTTTTAGGAAACTACCATAACTTTACTTTTTGCAATTTTCCAGATGGACCAAGGAGAAGCAGTGATATTAGAACTTTTGAAAAGCCTCTTCTTTCTTTAAAGACTTTATTTATTTATTTATTTATTTATTTATTTATTTATTTATTTATTTCTAGATGGAGAAGAAGGGAGGGAGAAAGAGAGAGAAACACCAATCAGTTGCCTCTCATGCACCCTGTCTGGGCAAACCCATAACCCAGGCACCTGCCTCGATAGGGAATTGAACCAGCAACCTTTTAGATGGCGGGAGGATTTCCCAACCCACTGAGCCACACCAGTCAGGGCAAAAAAAGAAAAAAGAAGAAAAATCCTCCTCTTAAATAGAAGTCATTCAAACTAGTCTCCAGCTGGGGGGAAGAGCAATGACAAAGGGCAGTTTTTCTTCACTGCATTGCTAATCATCACCCACACTGACTGTCAAATTCACACCATGGATGGTGGCCACAAGAAAACATTTTCCCGGTCAGTGCTGTCTTTAAGCTGGCTTTCAGCCAGCACATGCCAAGTGCCAAGTGGAAGGCTGGAGCAAATAGGAAATTTGCCTCTTCCTGAGGGAGAGTCTACTGGTACGTGTACTCACTAGGACTGTTCTCCAGTTGTAGACGGGTTCCTCTGGCGGCCCCACACCATAGTAGCTGGAATTTCCTCTGGCATGGGGGTGGGGACAGTGGTTGATGAACGTCAAGTAGTTTTTGTAATCTAATTTAAAAGCAGAAAGTGAAAAAGTGAAAGTTTATATTTGTGTGTGCTTATATATGCAATTGCTCCCTCCGTGTTCCTTTATCACTTTGCATTTCTCTATGGTGCTTCTTGCATTATGCTCATGTTACAGATACTCTTTTACATATTCCATTCCTTCTCTGAGAGTACACACTCCTTGCAGGTCAAGATCCCCTCATTTCTTTTGTCCTAGAACTTCCTGCAATACCCTGTGTGAACTCGACTGTCAAAATATCTGCCTCTCACCTGGACTGTACATCTAAAAAGTCTATAGGATAATGGGTAGGAGGGAACACTTACTCCTGCAGTTGGATGGGTGCAAGATCTTTAAGTCAGAATAACTGAAAAGCCCTTTCTGAACAGTAAAAATTATCTGTCTATGGAATAAATAAACACCAACCAGATATGCTTCATAGCAGATGATTATAGGTTTTAGTATTCCTGTGTGGAATGTCATCCCCTCTGTTCTCTACATTTTATGTCAGACTTTGGGTTTCTTTAGGCTAAGTAACCCTGGATGCATTTTACACTTACCTGGGGAGTATTGCAGATCTCCAGTTGAATGTTGCCTGAGTACCTCAAAAGCATCTTCAAAAGCTTGACCCAGCTTATCTTGTTCAACACAAGCCTGTTGGAACAATGGCAAAACTCTGGAGTTGTGAAATTACCAATTAAACATAATTTTTCTGATATAAAGGACGGTTTGCTCAACCATAGCACTACTGACATTTTAGGTTGGTTAAGTCTCAGTTTTGGGGTGCTGTCCTAGGCATTCTAGGGTGTTTATCAGCTCCCCTGCCCTCTAACTACTCACTAGATGCCAGCAGTACTCCAACAGTTGTGACAACAAAAATTGTCTCAGATACATTCAAATATACCCTAAGAGACAAAATGATCCTGGTTGAGATCTATGGCTCTCTAATACCAGTATTTATTCTAGAGTATAGGGCTTAATAGTATAGGGGCTTAATATATATGGGCTCTATAGTATAGGGGCTTAAATTCTTGTAAAATTTTAGCAAGAAGTTGTATAGATGGAGACTGATTTGGAAAAGGGAACCCTGGTTGGTGTGGCCAAGTAGATTGAATGCCAACCTGCCTGGGAACCAAAGGATCATGGATTAAATTCCCAGTGAGGGCACATGTCTGGGTGGCAGGTCAGGTCCCCAGTTGGGGACAAGCAAGAGGCAACCACACATTGATGTTTCTCTCCCTGTTTCCTCCTTCCTTTCCCCTCTCTAAAAAGAGATAAAATCTTTAAAAAAGAAAAGGGGATCAAGGAATTATCTTTAATCATACAAAATCTGAATTATAACTAATCAACAAAACAAATAAGCAAGCAAAGTGTAGCCAAAAACATTGAAATTGAGAACAGGCTGACAGTGACCAGAGGGGAGAGGGAAGGGTATAATGGGGTCAAGGGGGAAGGGACAAAATGGACAATAACAAGGAGGCTGTGGCAATGGGGGAGGGAGGTGGGGAGGGCCAGGGCGGTGGGGACAGGTGGGGGGAAAAGGCAGAAAACTACTTGAAAAAAAACCCATAAAAATTGTAATAAAAAAGGAAAAAAATAAAAAGACACTGTAGAAAGAAAAAAATAATAAATACATTGAGACATGTAATCACAAAAAAAGTGAAATGGTCTTATTTTCAAAAGCATGTCTCTAAGACTTAAAATAGAACTGTTTTGCAAACTATTTCATACTATAATTAATCTGATCCACATTTTATTTCTAAAAAGAAGGATTAATAAGGAAATCCTTTTTTTCTCTTGTACTGTTCCCAAAAGTACTGCAATACCCAGTCGATGCTCAGAGTAGATGGAGCAAGCTCCTAATTCCATCTCTCATCTTCAAAAATCCATTTAGTATAAGCTCCTTCAGTAAAGGATGTATCAGATATTACACTGATAAGAACAGATACTACACTTGATCTTAGCCAAAAGGCCAAGAAGCGATGAGTAGGGAAATTCTTAAATGACAACTTACCATACTTCATTAATCAGTTGACAATCCTGAAAAAGATTAATAGTTAAAAAACAAAATCAGTGTCTCTACTCAATTTGCCTCTGAATTAAGAGAACTTACTCAAAATATTCTCTAAAAATGTCTTATATAAACCAAAAATGTCTTATATAAACCAAAAGTATCTGAATCCTATTTGATGAGCACGAATTTTATCTCTACAAAATTTTCTACTAGCATTTTTGGCTCTTCTATCCTTACAAAACATTTTAAATTTAAAACACTAAATAGAGTTAATTACCTAAAATACTTGACTTATAAGAGAATATGGAAATGACTCAGGAATATATTTAAATATTTCAAAATTCTGGAAATGAAAATTCTTTTTTCTTAGTATAGTTATTTGTTTATAGCAGTGTTTTTTAAAACATTTCTTTGAAAAAACATTTCTGATGTTACATAGCTTTCAGAGAATTTGGTGAAAGGCATGCTTTTTCTCTCATGAAATGTACTTACATTACAAATAAAATATACCCTTAGAGACACATCCACAAACTTTCTAAAATCCTGAGTTAAGTAAGAACCCTGGTCTGTAATTTTATATAACTACAAATAAATCCATATAACAAGAAGGAGCACGTGGTGGATCTAACCTTGTCTATCATTTAGCATACCAAAAAATTGTTTATACAAGTTCTTACAATTATTTTGCAAGCACAACGAGCTTACTCTAATATCGAACACTGCATAAATGCAATGATATGACATGATCTAACGCTATTATTATACATACCCACAATACATCATTTTGTCAACCATCTAAATTCTATTCGGTTCTTTGAAATCACTATTATCATGTCAGTTAAAAGAGACTATAAAAAGAAAAGCCACAAAAAAGGTAACTGTGAGGTGATGGATGTGTCAACTAGTCTTATTGTGGTAGTCATTTTCTAATATATGCTCATGTCAAATCATCAAGTTGTATACCTTCAACTTACACAATATCATGTATCAATTATACCTCCATAAAGCTGGGGGAAAGGTATTTTTAAAAAGCCATGTCAGTCACTTTTAATTAACTGGTCCTTGACTGATAAGCGCCAAAGCAAATATATGAGTGTTGTTCTTTGGATTCTTAAATGAAGCTACTCTTTTGACTGAAATGCTCCACAAAACTATCACAACTCTCAAGAGTAGCAAGCTCAAAGGGAATAAAGAAATTGAAAATGTATTGATCACTCAACTGCTTAATATTTCTTGAATCAGAACAGGCAGTCAATGAAAAGCACTCACTAGACCAGCGGAGGAAATTAATAACAATTTTTACAAGGTATTTTGAAAAGCATAAGCTCAACACTTACCAGGAAGACACTGCCACCCTTTACAAAGATGTTTCATTAATATCAGAATCATTAAGACAGAACTGTCAAGAACTCACTGACCAAGTTGCATTAAATAGCTGTTTTTAAGGAAGTGCTACAAAAGGGGATTTTTTTTAAAAGATACAGTGCCTTCATAATCTCTATTTCATGTACGGCCAGTAGGCACCAGGGGCTATTATTTTGAAGAGATGCGGAATAGTTGGTATCCTATGGGCCAAAAGCATTAGAACAAACCCCATGAAACCCCCACCCAGCCTAATCTGCAGCCGCACAGGCCTGTAGAGCCCCATTAGAAACAATGCTTGCCCACCCTCTTCTCTTTATTCCTATTACTTCTCCCCTGATTCTGGACCTTATATTGCCTTCCTTGTTTGGACTATTAACAGCTTTCATTCTGAGCTTTCCAAATCGACCTCTTCAAACTTCTTTGCTCATATTGTCATTTGCTGATTGCCTTACTTAGTGATCACAAAGGCATAAGCCTTTGCCCTGGCATTCAAGCTGTAGTCATCCCAGCCTGTTTCATTGACCATCATTCATTTAAGAGGAAGGAATGTTACACTCAAAATAAAAATATATATGTACAAAAATAAGAGATCCATGGTACAGCCTTCTCCTCACACTGGAATCCAGTGGAGGCTCCTAAATGCTTAGCAACTTCTGGGTGGTGAACTAGCCAAAACCCCTTGAAGATGCTGCATTTGCAGAGTGGGTCCAGTTCTCTTATTTAGCTTGAAGGTTTATTTGGAATGTTTTTTGGTGGCTTTGATGGAAACAAGGGGGTGCTCCTGCCACCTATAGTGCCTCTTTCTCAGTCCATCCATCTGCCCATCCACCCATTCCATCTTACCTGCTCATTAGAGCCCAAGCCAGCATCCAAATGTACCAGGAGGAAAAGACCTTCTCCTCTGCAACGCAAGTGTGTACTGCCCTTAACTAACCGTAACCTTCTGCCATTTTAATAGATGTCTTATATAGCCAGGGGGAAAACCACGTGAGAACTTCTTTGTAAACCTTGTGGGAGGGGAAGAGATTTTCTGTTTTGTATTGTTGGGCTCTGAAGTCACTGTTGATTCGCTGATACATTGATACCTTGATACATTGGTATGGGACCATTGTTCTAGACTAACTACTCTATTGAGTTGATTTGTTATGCAAATGTAAACAAGCGTCCCGCCCCCACCTCTTCTGAAATGTAGAGGTTGTATAGAATCATTGAGGTTGATGAGTTTAACCTACACCCTGGACAAATCTACACCCTTTGGGGGCCACATTTTTATTTGGCTCAGTTTTTCAACAAATGTGCATTACCGAGCACTGTCTTTTGTGCAGGCCCGACAGCCCTAAGGAGGAGCAGTGGTTTGAAAGCAAACAAACTAGAGCACTATGAGGTCATGTTACATGCTGAAACAAACAATTAAAGAAAGGTGATGGAGACAGAGTATGTGGTCCTGGTGAATAGTCACACGAATTCTTTTCTGGCAGCAACATGTGTGAGCTGAAATCCAAGTGTAAGAAAAAGTAAGCAAAGGAAAAGCAGAGATGTAAAGATCCGGAGAAACATCAAACAGAAGAAGCAGCAAGTACAGAGAGCCTTAGGTGGAAATGAGTTCAGGTCCTTCACGGCACAGAAAGAAAGTGTTTGTGCGGGGACGAGTAAGGGGGGGCTGGAACAAAATGAACCTGCAGGTCAACAGACAAAGTTAGAAAGGATGAAGGGAGGATCCACTCAACCCACACATCAAACCAGACGACTAAGAAAAAGAAGTAATTTCGAGCCCATTTCACAGCAGGAAGAATCTAAACTGAAGCGCCAAGACATTTCATGATTTTTCCTAAGGCCAGTTGCTAATGAGAGATGGCTGGGTTGGGGGCAGATTTGGGCCGGACTATCTTCACGCTCTCCGCCGTCACGCTGAGCCCTGTGTCTGCAGGTTAGGTCCCGTTAGACCAGGGTTCTCAGTCTTGATGGCAGTCTCCATAGCACCTAGCAGATTCTTGTAGTAGTACAAGCTTGCCATGTATTTGACATGAAATGGAAAAACAAGTAAACTTTGGTAATTGGCATTTTTCCCAACTGGTGTCTCCAGACTTTTTTCTGCAAGACATTAATAAATGAATACTGAAAAAAGAGTTGAGTGGAAGCCAGTTTGGCTGCTAAAATTTCTTTAGTGAAGCCAATGAGTATGTCGATGTTTTTTGGACATGATTCCATACTGCAGATGAGAAAATAGAAAGGCAGTTTTGGGCTCTTTGTAGGGCAAAAGGGGAAAAATACTTCCTGCAACTTGAAAGATGGTGCATTGTCCTAGCATGTTAGAACAGGTCAAGGCTCCTTCCTATTCCTCAAGAATCTGATGAAAATTATGAGTTCTCTCCACAGGAAAATACCATCAATCCACATTTTCAGGCAAACCCTCCAAGTGAAGCCTATGGACCCCAGTTTAGGAGCTCCTGCAATACTGTGTTTTCAAAGCTTTCTTATTTGAGATCTTAAGGACTACGTTGTGATATATTTGTCACCAACACCCATCCACACAGAGCACCTTTTTTTTTTGGGGGGGGGGGTGGCGGTAGACACCAATATTTCCCTCAACCCAGAAGTGAGCTGAGTAATAAGGGCTCTAAAGAAAGGATCCCTCCCTGGTTGACAGATTCTCTTTTGCAGAAGTTCATTGTCCTCAGTGGCAACTGAGATTATTTTAGAAAGTCTTAAGCAACAGATGTGCTGGTGTCTAAATCGTAGGGTGCCAAGGCGTCTTCAGGTGGAAGACTGCCTATTCTGAGAATAGAGAACTTCAGAACCCAGTAAAAAGGAGGCTAAATTCAAGCTCTTATTACTTTGCAATGTTTATTTAACTCTTTTTCTTAGGGGATTACAGAACTGGGTCTTAATCTTAGTAAGATCTCTGAACATCTAATAAGCAAATAATATTGCTAGACTGAGAAAGCACTAAAAAATTTCTCATGTCAGAAAATTCATGGAACTGTAGATTATAAAACAAATGGTGAGTCCTCACCCTCATTTTAATAATTGCTTGCATTTGATTATTCTTTAAAATTTTATTGAGATTTGTTTTGTGATCCATCATAGGACCTCTCTTGATGAAGGTTCCATTTGCGCTTAAGGTATATTTTGCAAATATTGTATGTAGTGTCAAATAAATGTCAGATCTAGTCAGTTGACAATATTGTTTAAATAATGTTTCATATCCTTATGGATTTTTTTGTCTCTATGTTCTATCAACTATGAAGATTACAGAAGATTATAGGTATTACAAAGAGTAATATTCAACTACAATTGTGGATTTACTTATTTCTCCCTTTAGTTCTGCCAATTTTTGCTTCAAGTATTTTGAAGGCTCTATTATTAGATTTATACTTGTTTAGGATTACTATATGTTCCTGATGAACTGAGCCTTTTATTATTATAAAATGTCTGACATTAATTACACCAGGATTCTTATCCTTTTCACTTTCAGTGTGTCCACATTATGTCTTTATATTTAAGGAATGTCTCTTTAATCAGCATTAAAGAGACAACCACGTTGCTCCTATTTTACCACAGCTGGGACCTATAGGCTAGCTGGTAAGTGGAAGAGCCAGGACTCA